GGAGCCTAGTAAACAATGTTCTTCAGGTAATTGTAAATTAATGATACCAAAAAAAAAATAGTATAGAAGTTATATATCATATTTTATGATTTGAGATATATAATTTAGAAATATTTTAAATTTCTTTGGAAATTCAGTTGAATCAGTCTAAATGGTAGTGATTTAAAATTTTTTTTTTTCCTCTGAAGTACTTCAAATGATAGTCATTTAAATAACTGCATTATTTGCAGTGATTATTGTTTGAAGCTTAAATGATAACCTGGTTAGGGATGATCAAATGAATATAGGTACATCACATATGTTCTGTGATCTAGTTTTAGAACCAGGTACTGGCATGTAATATAAATTTGGGATTGGATTTAATAGATACAGAGTGGTGAGGAGAGTTCTTTGATCTGAGGAAGTAAAAGTTGTAATTTAACAGTAGGATACAGTATTTCAATATTCTGAACTTGCTAAAAGAAAATCTTTTAACATGTTTCCAGTTTTAATTCTGCTGCAAATGGAACTATCCATAAGTAGACATTAGAAACAAGTAGTCTCAGGGAATGAAAGGAAGCATGGACGTTTTAATAGTGAAATTTCCTTAAGTGATAAGAAGTGAAGTAGTTCAAAGTGTAATTCTACTGCAATGTTTGATTCAGGGATGTGGTTAAATAACTATCCCCTTTACATTTTTGTTCTTGAAGAAAGTTTTAGAAACACTTGGGCCAATAGGGCAGTGTACTACTTTTCTGTTCAGAGGCCATAGTAAGGGAACTGCTGTACATGAAGAATCAGAAATTTCTTACTGTAACCAATACTAAATATTTCTCTTTGACAACCCTTTATTTCTAAAAAGCATAAATTCTGATAATATATTTTTAAAGAACTTAAAGCTGCCTTTGCAAAAGTATTTCTGAACTGAACTCATGATAAAAAATAGAAAATTATTCTTGAAGGATTTTTTTTTATTCTCAAGTGCTTCATAAGATGCAATCTTGGGCATCTTTTCTTGCATATTTAACATATAATTAATCAATTTTCCAGAAGCGCATGCCATACTGGACCCATGATTATATGCTTTTGGAAGAGTAGGATCGGGAGAGTATTGGAGTTGGAAGGTCCTAAACCATGGTCTTTCTATTCTTACTAAAATCATGGAGAAAACTAAATATAGCTGAAAGAGATATCAGCTATTCCCCAAACTCATTTTTCTCTTGCATACAAGCTGAGAGGTCATACGTTCTAGAATGTTTTTGAAAATAAAGAAAATTGTACTTGTACAAAACTATTATAATCATAAGCAACTTTTGAATAAACAGAATGTAAGATCTGTATGTACTAAAGACTGGATAATTTACCTTCAGACATGCTGATAAAATTGTTTTACTTAAATAAAACTTCATTGTTAACAGCCACATATGATAGATAGCAATAATAGTATGTTTTTTGTAGAGTATTAATTTTGTTTTTCTAAAACAGTACCTACTGGTTTCTATTGGAAAATTTCAAAATTTTTTCCAAGTCATACAAATAGAGATACAACTGAAAAAGAATTATTTTATACCAGAAAATGACACAAGAAGATTACCTCTCTCTTAAATAAAAAAATTCTAACAGTGTATTAATAATGAACAGTTTTTATATTTTTTGCTGACTGGTTTGTACTAAGTTACTAGTTGAATAGTGAAAAAAATACATAAATAATTCAGCGTCTTGGGGCTTTCTTTCTGTTTGGGGGAGATAACACAAGCAATGACATAAAAAAATAAGCAAATTGTTAGAATATAAGTGCTATGGAGAAAAAAGAAATGGAGAGGGACATTGGGGATTGTGCTGAGGCAAATTTCAGTATTTTATGAGAAAATCAGATTATATGTCTTACTATTGATATAATAAAAGTAATAAGAAATAGTTAATATGATTAATGTTTTTCTTCTTATAGCTGGAGCAGTCAGATGATTTCAGTTCGTGAAGCCAAAGCCATTCCCAGGCCTGATGATTTTGAGTGGATAAATAAATACATCTGTGTAGAAGGTAGTTTGCTGTCTTGATACTTACTTACTTGAATAATTTCAACTTTATTGCAGTTGAAAGTAATACATTCTGTTCTGAAGTGGTTTATAAGCCTTTTAGTTTAAAATTCTAATTTGATTTAAAAAATAATTAAAAAATTTTTAATTGTAAAAGATACTAACTATGAATCTAGGCGTTTAATCTTTCTGTTGGTAAGATTTAAGCCATCTTTATGCATCCCTCATGCTTGTAGTTGATTGAAACTTAATTTCATGACTTGGAGATGAAAGAAAATAGTATTTTCATGTGATGATTGATATTCTATTAAATAAAATGGGCTCTTATATTTTAAATATTGATAATGCATGCTAGGTTTTTATGAGTAAAATTGATTTTTACTTTAAAAATTAAATGCTCTGAAGATATTCTGTTCTCTAAAATTATGTGTTTAAACATTCCTTAAGTCAGTGGAAAACTGACTTCAAGAGAGAATTGTTCCCACAAATGTCTCAAGTTGATGACTTGTAAGTCTTGAAGTTAAAAAACAATGAAGGATTGAGATTCAGTACTTGTAGGAAAACGTTAAGTTTAGAATATTTTAATCTTGAATTATATCCAACATTTTAAGAGTTCGTGAATATGAAATGAAATCTCCTGCTTTAATGTTGGGTTTGCTAAATTGTACGATGCATATATATTATTTTGAATTATTTGAATATTAAACATTGACTTGTAAAGTGCTATGTGTGATATCATTCAATTTTTTAAAAGAAGACAGCAGTGAATTTGTCACGGATTGACTCTTCCTTTCATGAATGATTTCTGTGTAGCATGTGATGCTTTTTGATAGCATTTTATCCACAGTAGAACTTTCAAAATTAGAGTCAATCCTCTCAAACTCTGTCACTGCTTTTATCAACTAAATTTATGTAACATTCCAAATTTTTTGTTATTTCAACAGTCTCACAGCATCACCATGAGTAGATTCCATCTCAAGAAACCACTTTCTTGGCTCATCCATAAGAAGCAACTCCTCAGCCCTTTAAGTTTTATCATGAGATAGCAGTTCAGTCACATCTTCTTCAGGCCACTTCTGATTTCTGATTCTTGTTCTCTTGCTGCTTCTACCACATCTGCAGTTACTTCCTCCACTGAAGTCTTGAACCCCTAAAAGTCATCCATGGGGACTGCGATCATCTTTCTCCAAACTTCTATTAATGTTGATATTCTGATGTCTTCCCATTGGGACATTCTCAGAAAGAATATTCTTAATGGCATCTAGAATGGTGAATCTGTTCCATTAGATTTTCAGTTTACTTTGCCCAGATCCATTGGAGAAATCACTGTCTATGGCAGTTATAGTGTTAATGAAATTATTTTTTAAATAATAAGGCTTTAAAGTCAAAATAAGTCCATGATACATGGGCTGCAGAATGACTGTTGTTTCAGCAAGCATGAAAACAATGTTAATCTAATTATATATCCATCAGAGTTCACAGGTGACCAGGTGTATTGTCCATGAACAGTAATTTTGTTACTTTTTTATTTTCTTTTTTTATTAAAACATTGTTTAATGTACAACCATACATTGATTTCATATGTACATCACAGTGGTTCAGCAGTCCCCATGATCAACTTATATTGTGATTGCAAATTATTGTGCCCTTTTATTCTCTCCACTCTCTGCACCAGCCATTCCTCCTTGGTAACCGCCACTCACTTCTCAGTGTTTGAGTCTACTGCTGTTTTGTCCTTCTCTTTTGCTTTGTTTTTATATTCCACAAATAAGTGAAGTCATATGGTATTTGTCTTTCTCTGCCTGGCATATTACCCTGAGCATAGTACCCTGTAGCTCCATCCATGTTGTTGCAAGTGGCAGGATTTCTTTTCTTTTTATGGCTGAATAACATTCCATGTGTATATATAGCACATCTTCTTTAGCCATTCATCTATTGATGGACATTTAGGTTGCTTCCATATCTTGGCTATTGCAAATAGTGTGGTTAAAAACATAGGGGTGCATATAGCTTTTCAAATCAGATTTTGTTTTCTTTAGGTAAATTCCTAAGAGTGGAATTACTGGATCAAATGGTATTTCTATTTTTAGTTTTTTGAGGAACCTCCATACTGCTTTCCACAGTGGTTGCACCATTTTGCATTCCTACCAACAGTGTAGGAGGGTTCCCATTTCTCCACATCTTTGCCAGCATTTGTCGTTTCTTGTCTTTTGGATAGTAGCCATCCTAATTGGTGTGAGGTGATATCTCATTGTGGTTTTAATTTGCAAATTCCTGATGATTAGCGATGTGGAGCATCTTTTCATGTGTCTGTTGGCTATTTGTACTTCTTTGGAGAAGTGTCTTTCATGTCCTTTGCCCATTTTTTAATTGGGTATTTGGTTTTTGCATGTTGAGGCATATGAGTTCTTTATATATTTTGGATGTTAACTCCTTATCAGGTGAGTCATTTATGCATATATTCTCTCATACTGTAGGATGCCTTTTTGTTCTGCTGATGATGTCCTGTACTGTATAGAAGCTCTTTAGTTTGATGTAGTCCCACTTGTTCATTTTTGCTTTTGTTTCCCTTGTTTTCCTTGTGTCCCTGAGATGTGTCCAGGAAAAAATTGCTCATGTTTATATTCAAGAGATTTTTGTCTGTTTTAAGAGTTTTATGGTTTCATAACTTACATTCAGGTCTTTGATCTATTTTGAGTTTACTTTTGTGTATGCAGTTAAACAATAATCCATTTTCATTCTTTTTTTTCATGTAGCTGTACAGTTTTCCCAGTACCAGTTGTTGAAGAGGCTGTCTTTTCTCCATTGTATATTCATGGCTCCTTTACCATGTATTAATTGATCATAGATACATAGGTTTATATCTGGGCTTTCTATTCTCTTCCATTGATCTATGGGTCTGTTCCTGTGCCAGTACCAAACTGTTTTGGGTACTGTAGTTTTATGTAGTAGAGCTTGAAGTCAGGGAGCCTAAGGCCCCCAGCTTTGTTCTTCTTTCTCAGTATTGCTTTGGCTATTTGGGGTCTTTTGTGGTTCCATGAATTATAGAACTATTTGTCCTGGTTCATTGAAAAATGCTGTTGGTATTTTGGTAGGGTTAGCATTGAATCCATAAATTGCTTTGGGCAGGTGACCATTTTGACAGTATTAATTCTCCCTATCCATCAGCACAGGATAGATTTCTGTTTATTGGTGTCTTCAATTTGTCTCATTAGTGTCTTGTAGTTTTCAGAGTACAGGTCTTTCATCTGCTTATTCAGGCTTATTCCTAGGTATTTCATTCTTTTTGATGCAATTGTAAATTTTTTGTTTTCCTGATTTCTCTTTCTGCTAGTTTGTTGTTAGTATATAGGAATGCAACAGATTTCTGTGTATTTTGTATCCTGCAACTATGCTGAATTCAGTTTTTAGTTCTAGTAGTTTTTATTGGTGGAGTCTTTAGGGTTTTCTATGTATAATGTCAAAGCCTCTGCAAATAGTGACAACATAACTTCTTCCTTACCAGTTTGGATGCCTTTTATCTCTTTGTGTTGTCTGATTGTCATGGCTAGGTCCTCCAGTACTGTACTGAATAAAAGTGGTGAGAGTGGGCATCCTTGTCTTGATCCTGATCTTAGAGGAAAAGCTTTCAGTTTTTTGCTATTAAGTACAATGTTGGCTATGGGTTTGTTGTATATAGCCTTTATTACATTGAGGTACTTACCCTCTATACTCATTTTGTCGAGTTTTTATCATGAATCGGATGTTGCATTTTGTCAATTGCTTTTTCAACATCTAATGAGATAATCATGTGGTTTTTATCCTTCTTTTTGATGATGTAGTGTATGATATCAATTGATTTACAAATATTGTACCATCCTTTCATCCCTGGAAGAAATCCCCCTTGGTCATGATAGATTATCATTTTGATGTACTATTGGATTCAGTTTGCTGATATTTTGTTGAGGATTTTTGCATCGATGTTCATCAGGGATATTGGTCTATAATTTTTTTTGTGTGTGGTGTCTTTGTCTGGTTTTGGTATTAGAGTGATACTGGCCTCATAGAATGATTTTAGAAGTATTCCCTCCTCTTCTGCTTTTTGGAATACTCTAAGAAGGATGGGTATTAGCTCTTTAAATGTTTGATAGAATTTGGCTGTGAAGTCATTTGGACCTGGAGTTTTCTTTTATCTGTTTTACTTATTTTTCTCAACCAGCTTCTGGTTTCATTGTTCTTTTTTCTATTTTATTCTTTTCTATTTTATTTATTTCTGCTCTGATCTTTATTGTGTTCCTCCTTCTCCTGGCTTTGGGCTTAATTTGTTCTGCTTTCTCTAGTTTCTTTAATTGTGATTTTAGACTGTTTATTTGGGATTGTTCTTGTTTCTTGAGGTAAGCCTTTATTGCTATGTACTTTCCTCTTAGAACTGCCTTCACTGCCTCCCACAGATTTTGGGCTGTGGGGTTTTTATTTTCATTTGTTTCTGTGTATTGCTTTATTTCTGTTTTAATTTGTTCATTGATCCATTGGTTATTTAGAAGTATGTTGTTTAGCCTCCGTATGTTTGTAGGTCTTTTTGTTTCTTTGTGTAATTTATTTCTAGTTTCATACCATTGTGATCTGTGAAGCTGCTTGATTCAATTTCAATCTTTTTGAATTTATGGAGGCTCTTTGTGTGGCCTAGTACATGATCTGTTCTGGAGAACGTTCCATGTACACTTGAGAAAAGTGTGTATTCTGCTGCTTTTGGGTGGAGTGTTCTGTAGATATTAAGTCCATTTGATATGATGTATTGTCAATGCCTCTGTTTCTTATTTATTTTCTGTCTGGTTGATCTATTGATATGAGTGGTGTTGTATAAGTCTCTTAAAATGAATGTCTTGCAGTCTGTTTCCCTCTTAAATTCTGGTAGTATTTGTTTTACATATGTAGGTGCTCTTAATGTTGGGTGCATAGATATTTATAGTGGTTATATAATCTTGGATTGATCCCTTTAGCATTATGTTGTGTCCTTCTTTGTCT